GTCTGCTCCCCGCTGGCAAGTGGACATCCCCCGAGGGCTCCCGGGCTGCCAGAGGGATGTCTGACTGCCAGCTTAGGCTCAATCCCCCAGGGAGCGGGCCTAAGCCAGCAGGTGGACATCACCCGAGGGATCCCAGACTGCAAGAGGGCACAGGCTGGGCTAAGGGACCCCCCCGAGTACACAAATTTTTGTGTACCGGGCCTCCAGTGTGTATATAATTTAAGATGCCGGTGAGTAAAAAGAACAGAAACTTCATTTATCATCAATAAAGGCTTCTGAAATCTTACTATAGCTGTGACAAAGAACAATCGCTTACTTTAAACATAACTACTCTACAGTTCCTGGTAGGAAACTAAAATATCTCATTTAGCCCCATATTCCCTTGCCAATGTCTTTATAGAAATGTTTAGTTATAGATTTTGCACTTCATGAAATTCAAATTCCTTAGTATTGTTGAACACAACCATTCACACAAATACACATATATGGCAACTCAATCCTGTTTATCGTTAAATAGGAATCATACATGATGTGGACAAACATGTACATACAGTATATGAATATTTTCATACATGCTTATATTAGTTACAGAAATATACATTTACATTAGCTTGCTTATGATAGTAGGCAGATGCACATATAAATTTATTTACTTTAAAAATCAACCGATTTTCAAAAAAACTTTAAAAAGTTTATATGGAACGAAAAGATAGCTGCTGAGAGCTATTTCTTTTTAAGTAAAGATAAAATTGATCCTTCAATGGCCTTTTAATATAGTCTAGCCTGAAAAATTAAGTTTGTAATTGAAATAATTTACCACCATTGTTTGAATTAAAAAATATATTAAAAAAATAAAATAAAAATATATTAGATTAATTCTTCAGTGATTACATTAGAACCACCAAGAGGCAGAAATAGAGACAAGTCCATAGTACAAAAGAAATAAATTGTAGAGTATATCGATCAGATACTTTTTCCTAAAATCACAATATTCCCTTGAAGTTATTAAGTTGAATATAAAAGTTGCAAATACATTTCCCATACTGAAAATGGTGCACTTACAGGAAATTTGTGAATATCTGCTTCCACAAATAGGCATAAATCAGAAAGACATTGATATAAACATAAAATAATAAAACTAAAGGATCAGAAGGCACATTCTGAATAATACAACCCAGTAAATAAGAGAATGAAGATTTACTATTAAAGTAAAATCCTCAAAAAAACTTATTTGAGGCTTAGAAAACTATTTTTAAAAATTACATCTTTTTTAAATCTTATACAAAAACAAAAAGTACTTTCTTAGAAGGACTTTTTATCCACTCTATAAGTTTATCCACTCTATAATATTCACAACAGAAATAACAAAAAATAAAATTTTCTTCCAATTTGAATATTCTATGAAGCACCTCATTTTCTCCTAGTTTTTCCTTAACCAGAAAAAAAAAATGCACACACACAAAAAAACCCAGATGACATTCCTATGGTGTAGAGTGCACTGTAGATTAAGTGCTATTTTCTTTATCCTGCTTTTCTTCTTCATGTGGTGAATCTAGTTCATTTCTGCTAGTTTCTTCCTCACTGGAATCACTGTCCAATCCACCTTCAACCCTAGCAGACGTCTTGTCATGCAAAGAACTTTCACAGGTTTTGTCTGTGGGAACAGCTCCTTTCCTTTGAGGTAAGACAGTAAAAAATGCTTCTTGCCAGTCTCTTGTTTCCAGGTATTCCAGAATAATCTCAAACACTGAAACAAAGACAAACTCTATACATTTCTTAGCCAAGTTCATCACAATGTTGCATACTATATTTTAAAATGCATTGATACTATGTCCTAATAATTTCTACTTTGTTCTTATCACCTTGTTTCCCCTACTGGCTCTCAGAATCAATTTGCCCCAAAGCTCTCAAGCCTGTTCTTTAGCTTTTCCTCAATTCCACTCTTAAGCACTTAGAAGTTTACCATTATTCCTTGTCAGTAATAATTAATACACAGGGAATCTTTTTGCTTCCTTCCTATTCTTTATCCCTTTCACTTCTTTATCCTTTATGTGCTAACATAAAACTAGAAAAAAAAAGGTTAGGATTAATCTAAATTTCTACTATTTTTCCTATACAGCGCCACTCACTCTAGGGAACATCTTGCCTGCTTTTTGTTTCATATTTAGAGTTAAAATTTAATACTGTTTCCAAATTACTCTTACATTAATACATTGTTAAAGGGTCAATTTGGATTACTTCATGGAAAAGTAATTTCCACAATCTATCAAAGGTCTTAGAAGCTCAGTCCTGGAATCAGTAAATTCATTTATATAACTCCCTATAGTCTACCATAAAGTTCTTAGCACATAAAAAGAGCCCAATAAACAGTTGTGCATCAACAAAAATCTCTACTAAAAACTCCAGACAAATGTCTACGAATGTCTTTTACAATGTTATTTACAATAGTAACCAAAAAAATCATCAACAGAAGAATGGTTAATTATTATATATTCAGATGATGACTATTATATAGCCATTAACAATAATTCAATGACATGGAAAAACCCTATCTAATAAAGAGCTAATATTCAAATGTACCATCACTCCAACACACAAGATGGCCGCCAGGGGAGGGCAGTTGTGGGCGATCAGGCTGGCAGGGGAGGATAGTTGGGGGGGACCCAAGCCTTCAGAGGAGGGCAGTTCGGGGGGACCAGGCCAGCAGGGGAGGGCAGTTGGGGG